TTTGAAAGTCTCGCTGATTTCGCTGCCACAGGGGAGATCTCGTCGCTTATTCTTCCTTTCGCTGGCCACATCGGCGAACGGGATAACGAGGGAAACACGTCAGTCTAGTTTTTGATTGATTTTGGATAACTTATTGAGCTCTGTGTTCGGGTCTCATCCAGTAGGGGGCATAGGGCGCGACGGTTCATATCGCTTCGTGTAATCCTAGTTTTTGCATCAGAAAGGAAGCTTCAGGGTGGGTGTAGGGATTAAATGGTTCACGCACCCCGCGGATTTCCTTCAGCAATTATCGCAACACATGCCCCCCTTAGTGGATGAGACCCCTGTATTCTTTCAAACAACAACTTCTACCTAGTGTGCTGCATATATCGGCAAAGAATTCGCAAAGTTTCGCTCTGAAATTGTTGTTGTCAGCGCTTCCGTCAGACAAGAAGGAAGGTGAGGCTTTGCGATTGCAGTTCTCCGTCAGATTTTTCATATCCAATGTTTTGCAGAGGTTCTGGATATCCGTAATACTCGTGGCCAGACCGGCGCTTCATTGTGCTGTTCGAGCCGGAGATCCTGACAGCGTCCATTATTTGTTAAGCCATGGAAGTGGTACAAGAGTTCTCGACAACCATAGGAACTCCGTAAATTTCCTATTCTTCTTTTGGGCTCTAGATGATAATGCAGAAGCTTTTCCAAATTGTGGCTTTCAGGTGATCCATTACCTGGCCGACGCTTACAATGAAGCGATATTCAAGGAAATCCTCGAAACACCTGGATCGAGCGAAAACGAACTTGACGCACTGAACGAGGAGGGATTCTCGGCCCTTCATCTTGCAGTCAGGAGGTGTCTTAGTATTCGCTTCTGCATTCGATGCTCTTCATATGCTCGGAATAATCATTGTTTTTTCTGAAGGTTGAAGCTCAGCCTGATCGAAATGCTTCTGGAAGCTGGCGCTTCGATTAACTGCAAGGACCATGCTGGTCGATCCGCGCTCTTTCACGCCGTGAACATGAACGACGTCGAGATTGTACAGTTCCTTCTTGGGGTGAGCTTCACCAATCTTTCTATCTAATTAATTCGAACCCAGCTGAACCAATGCCTCAACTGGTCACTCAAAGCCTTGCCCCGTTTCTAACTTCTTTCATATCAAGTGCTTTCTTTAGAAAGGAGCCGATCCAAACGTTGAGGACGAATCGGGCGAAACTCCTCTCTTGCTGTGCATGAAAACGGCTAATTATGCAATTATGGGTTTATTGATCGATGCTGGAGGTGATCCGAAGAAACAAAATCGTAATGGAAACTCGCTATCGGATAGTAACGATGCAACCGTTCAACGAATCATTGCTGGAGAGAGGTAAGCACGGCCTGCAGGCGTGCGCTGAAACGAAGGTTCAGCTACAAAAAAATGCGCTGAGAGCACCTGGCGATTGTGTAAAGAACCGAAGTCCCCGAAGAATCGAGCAGCAAGTAAAGGGCAGAGCTTGCAGCGTCCAACTTTTTCGAACTTTTGCACGACGACTAGTATTTCTCGAACACAGTGAAGATCTTAATGGAACCCTTTGGAATGCGCTGCTTGCATCAGCAATCAAATCCGTGTATTCTGCCTCAGAAATGCACATGAGGTGCAATAAGGCCTGACCGTAAGTGAAAAAAAGCGGAAGAACTCATAGGAAATCCTGAAATTAGGAGTCCCGTTGTCTATCCGTCGCCACACCGTCATGTCGACCGTGATCCGACAGATAGACAAAGCACGGTCAAACGAGCGATACATAAGATTGTTTGTCCCACGGGAAGATGCAGACATCGCGTACGCTGTGAGCGTGTAATATTGACAGCGATCGCAGCGGTTTAACATGACCTTAACGCCCTTATCGCGCCCATTTAACTCACTACAATGTCACAGCTTCTCTGCATACAGTGCCTTGCTACCTCGCACGGAGGCAATTTGTTCTGATTATCTAGTCGCGTACTGTGTCTTTAACCCATTGACGACACCCACCAGTGACCACACACGGACGAGACTCGTTTTGTTTCATTTGTCCGGATTTTTCTCTTGTATAAAAACCACCCCGTATATATAACCATGTCCTAAAAGCAATATGTATACTACTAATGATGAAATTTCTGAAGGATCACCGACTATTAGTTAAAAATATGGAAAAAAGGTGTCGCAATGCAAGCCAACGGCGGTGGTCAAGGGTTGCGCTGTGATGGGTATGTTCTCCAAGGCCAAATGTGTACTTTCTGGTGAGACAGAAGAGTTAGTTGATACTCATACCAGTGTTTGTATCTTTCCAATCTTATCGTAATTATTTGGCCCATCCTTGGTATGTGAAAGCATTAGGTCTAGTGGAGGGCTACTCTGGTTTTGTGGAGGTGGAATGTGCGATGCACTCTTTTTTCAGTGCGACACTTGTGCCTGTGTTAGAAATGCAGTGTTTCTCAAGGTAAAATAGAAGAATTGCAGAGGTCAATAATTGATTGCTTGAATGACACAATCGTTATTTAGTCTTCTGGTTTGGTTTTTATCTCCAAGAGTAACAGAACTTCCTTCATAAGAAAGTAATGAGAAGGTGTTGTGTATCTCCTTATAGTTATGCTGTCACAAGATCACCCCGGTTCTGGGAACTCAATAACGGATGAGGCGCTACTGTGAATAGTAGCCTGAGCTAATAAATACCACTTATTGCTCACTGGATCCATTCCTTGATTGGCTCTATTGTTGCAAAACGTGTTAATGAGATGACTAACACCTTTTGTACTGATGACGTAGTAGAGGAGCCAGTATGGTCCTCTTTGCCTCTGTTATCAGTCCAAACGCTAGAAATTCGTCAAATTTGTCATTAATCACTTTTTCGGCTCCAAGTTGTTCATTTATACTTTACCAGATTGGTTCCCCGACAACCTCGTGACCTCCCTCCCCTGCGTAAGCTTTGCCCTCCTCTTCCTCCCCTTATCCTCCCCTCCCTCTC